GGAATCGGATGGTCCATCTCACGAGCGCATCTTCATCGGTATATCGCTTCGCTTTTCATAATTATTTCTACTGTACTCAGAAATTCTTTTAACTGAACTTCTGTCCCACTCTACCTCCCTCCCTCTCCACCTAAATTTCTCTCTATGAATTTCTAAAATTTATAATATGAATAAATTATCCATATTGTAAACTTTAGAAAGTATGCAGATTTAAATGCATGCAATTTTCATAATCTGAAGATGTCTTATTTCGTTTCTTTTTTTAGTGTCAAATGTAAACATTACGTAATTTTAAGAATGAAAGGTAGAACAACGGTAGAATAATAAACTTGCAAAACTACCAAAAATAAAAAAAAATAGTGTTTTCTATATTTAAAAATATATGATTAAAAAGCAATTGATCTCCTGTAGAAGAGTTGAACAAGTACAATTTAGAATTTAATCATATTTAATTTTAATCATAAATATATGCCCAATTTTCAAACATAAATTACATTCTGGAGTTTGTGAAAATTGCAACATAAAGAAGGAGACGCACTATTGCAATGAATTCCACAGATTAGGAATTTCAGAATATACAAAAGATGAGAATTACGAAACTGTACCTTCATTTTGACGTTGAGTATTTAGTACGATGTACGGTCCACGCGCTGTCATCAGAGCATCAACACGTCATAGCGTGGATTCAGCCTGAATATGCAGCTGGGGAACACTGTCATGCGGAATCTATGCGTGACCACAAAGCATCGACAATAGTTGAAAGAGGACCAGAACGAACAGGTTGCCGACCGTTCATAAACCAGACATGCTCGATGGACGTCATGTCAAGTGAACGTGCAAGCCAGGGAAGCAGTGGTACCCGTTTGTCTTCGCAGAAAACTTGCACATTCCTCGCACATGCGATCAGGCATTGTCCTGATGAAATATGGCGTGAGAAGCTGCTTGCAGGAGGGACAGTACCTCGGTCTCTAAAACCTCCCCGAAGTAGTTCCTGGTGTCCAGATTGCCCTCAATACGTATGAAGCGAGATCGCACATTGTAGCCAAGGGCGCCCCAAACCATCCCACTTGGCGTTTGTGCGTTATGGCGCGGAACGATGCAGGCTGGCAGATTGCGATCACCACGGTAGCGTCGAACACGTACGCGGCCATCGCTGTATCACAAATTGAAGAGGGGCTCGTCCGAAAACACTACATTTTGCCACTTAGCACTCCAGTGAACGCGTTCATGTGTTCATTGCTGTCTGAGGCGTTGATGGTTTCTGGACAACGGAATCCGACACAGTGGCATACGTGCCAGCAATTCAGACCTCAGGCAAAGACATGACCACACCCGTTGCAGTGTTACAAAGTCGAATCAACATTGTATACGACGCCGTTCTGTCGGTTACGGCAATGTGGACAAGATGGATGTCATCTTGCTCTATGGTAACATTGCGTGGTCCAGTACCCGCTCGTCGCTGTGTATATCCCTACTCTAGCCACACACGCACCACTGTCGTAGCAGCACGCCTTGTTCGAACCATAATGTCACGATACGACAAACCGGCCTTTTAAGAGACCGATAATTTCGCCCCTTGCGTACTCACGCAGATGCTGATATTCGAACCTTTGGCGTCGATGAGGCTTACCGACACTTGCCTGCACGTTTCTTCTTTAGTAATTTTTTTATAGTGATAGATAAATAATAGGTGATTATAATCTATCTGGGTTTAATATTTTAGTATTGATATTTGTATTGTCTATGATGTTTTTGATTATTAGTCCTAATTTAATTAGAATTTTATTTGGATGGGATGGTTTAGGATTGGTGTCTTATTGTTTAATTATTTATTCTCAGAATATTAAGTCTTATAATGCTGGTATGATTACAGCTTTGTCTAATCGTATTGGTGATGTGACATTATTATTATTATTATTATCATCGATTGTTTGAATAATAAGATATGGTAGTTGAAATTATTTATATATTTATAATTTTGGAAGTTTGGATGTTGAAATATGGTATTTGATTATTTTAGTTATTTTAGCTGCTATGACTAAAAGAGCTCAAATTTCTTTTTCTTCTTGGCTTCCGGCAGCTATGGCTGTTCCTACACCTGTTTCTTCCATGGTTCATTCATCAACCTTGGTTACGGCGGGAATATATTTACTTATTCGTTTTGGAATGGTTATTGAAATGTATTCGATGAGTGATTTTATAATATTTATGGGTTGTTTAACTACATTTATGTCTGGTGTTAGGTGCTAATTTTGAGTTTGATTTGAAGAAAATTATTGCTTTATCAACTTTAAGTCAGTTGATACATTTGACGTCTCTCTCTACACCAACTGAGTGTAAAGCAAAACTGATCTGACACAAAGCAGGGCGCTGTTAGGACAACATGCACGCCATCTCTATGTAAATTTAGTAACTTCTTATGGATACACTGTTTTACATATCACCAGTTTTACGTGATTACGACCAGTCCTTCTGGGTGTTACAATTTTCAAAAACACTAGTATACATCCGGGTTATTTGAAGAAAAAAATAGGCGGCAATTTTTCGCGTGCTTATAGGCGATAAAGTTGATAATCCGCCTCTGGTGATAATATCACGAACAAAAACTGGTCATGGTCATTTTAGTCACAAGCACCTTCTAACCAGAGATCCCCCTCCCACCTGTGAACCCTGCAATACTTCTCTCAACATCCATCATTTGCTATACCATTGTACTCCATTTCACAACATACGCATCACAATGTAGATGAACAAGAGCACGTACTAATTCTAACACCTGGGGATTATAAAAAAAGAATTACAGTTCTGTAAATCAAGTAATCTCCTAAATAAATTCTAACCTTGCTAAATGTATTTCAAAACTGCAGAATTGCAATTTTGTACTTCCCAATGTATGTTTATATCATGTTATTATAATTTTCCGTACTATTGTGTTTAAACAGTTTTTATAAGCGATGGAAATATTTTGTTTTGTCTTTATATAGTCACTAATAACCATAGATTTGAATGCGACTTAAAGTAAAAATGATAAAAAAACGTAGAATTGTTCTCATCATCAGGAGATGTACATACATAAAAATACGCCCTGAAGTCTTGGTCAATTTTTTAAAATATTGTTGGCTAAAACATTTATATTAAATTATGTTTTCAATTTAAAATTTACTACTGATATGAACTTTAAGGCTGAATAATTTTTATATTAAAAATAGCAATGGTAAGTTTGTTTGCACGAATTACAATCAAAGACTTTACTTCTTAATGAAATTATTGAAACTATAGACCTGCCAGTAGTTGTGTGGATTAGGGAATTCCTCTGTGGTTCGACCCAGCGAGTTCCAATTAATGACTTTCTATCCGACGATGTTAATGCGGCGTCTAGCGTCCCCAGAGAAACGTGTTAGAGCGACTCCCTTTTACTTTCACGCTGTAAGAAATAAAAGATCAAAATCTGGGTTTGGACAAGTTCATAGGAGTCGAATATTATTGATCGGTTACACGAACAATGACCCTTTAAATTAAATCTCAACTTATATCACTGTTGCATAGAACAGAAGGGAAATATCGTGGGCAAAAAAATAGAACTTCAATCGATAACTGCTGGTGACGTTGGCCAAATTCGTTTACTACGCTCCTTGAAGTCACAGAGATTAAGCGAATTTGAGACTCATGGGTTCCTGCTAGGTTGACCGCCTACAAACCACGGAATCTAACGGCGCTGAGGTCCTGGCCGAAGGGATAAAATACACTAGCCGAAGGAATAAAAAGCGCTCAACGATCAAAAAGGTTTAAGGAGACGGGTGACGTCAATGTCGTCACAACAAATTTAAAAAAATAAAACTTAACGGAAAACGTCTGTTGTGTTCTTCATACAACACACCATGCTCTTGTCAATTTTCTGATCGTCTTTCCAATAATTTGGTTATCAGTCGCAGATAATTCTCTGACTTTTCTTCCCTACATCCATTTTCCTTTTTTTCCCCCAGGACAATGTTGGTTAACAGCTCATGTTGTCCAGCTGCCTCTCTCCAGCTGCATTTTGTACTAACCCTGCTCTGCATAATTTTTAGCCACGAAAAGAAAAAACTTCGAAGACAACGTAAACAAGAAGTTAAATGAAGATATAGAGAGTCACGTCAAAAGTCCCCTTACTTTCCTTTTTCTTCCTTCGGTTTTAACTATTGAATTGGAAATATTCTGGGTTACAAGTTGAATACGTAGTGCATGAAACAATTTTATATCTAATGACGTACATAGCCGTATTCTCTTTGCCCTTAGCAACTGTGTACCGGCCTTTATATTAATTTTCTTACGTGTTGCAGGTAATTTTCTTGTCATTTTGTTTTCTTTGAATACACTTTCCCACACACCAGAGTTAGTGCAACATCTCAAATTGTCTCAAAAAAAAAACTACTGCTATAAAAAGAGCACTTTGAATCAAACGTGCTCTGCATAAGAGACTCCTTGCCGCGAGAAGAAGAAACACTCCGTAGGCAATGTAAACAAGCAGATTGATGAAGATGTAGTAAGACACGACTACAAGTTCCGTCCATTCTTGGTTCAGACCTCTGTCTCAGCAACTGATGACCTTATTTCCTAAGTGATGTATCTGCATTTTTTGTTTTCTAGTTTACATACTCTTAACACGCTTATCTATCATGGTGGAGATATTGTGTTCACAAATAAAGTTTCATCTATGATTACGGTATTCGAAAATAATTGAATCGTATCTAGGACTGTAAGTCTGAATGAAAATAATTTCCGTACTTGAAAATTGTTTCTTAATGATGTCACTTCATTCAGGTATTTAGAGTGTCCCGTTGGTTATTTAGTCGTGAGACAGAATATTTCATATTTAATGCTTTGGAGTGCCGTACTTCATTTGTCCTTACCAACAATATGACAGACATTATTGTAATGTATTTTCTAGACGCGCATCCATTTTACTGTTTACTTCCTCCCATGCCAGAGACAGTTCAACACCTCAAGTTGTCTAGCTGCCGCTCTCAAAGCGAGCGTTTTCCTTTGAACGCGCTCTGCTTGAGCGACAATGGACCGTGGTGAAAGTCCCCCGTGGTCAACACAAACAAGCGGTCCGGCGGAGGCGCGGGGTGGCGTGAAGAGGTGCGTTGCGGGGCAAGCGGCTACCGTCTGCCGCCTCGACGCATGATGCAGGGCCAGGGCTGCCGGGAAAGCCACCCGCCCGAGCCCCACACGCTCAGACGCCGCTGCCCAGGACTCGTAACCCAGTTTCATGCTGACCACGCAGAGCGGGCAGGATGCAGACGCCCAGATATACGTTTTAATTTATTTAACCGTTTATTTATTTATTTATTTATTTTTTTTTATTTATTATTTATATTATTTTTTATTTATTTATTTTATTTATTTTTATTTATTTATTTATTTATATTATTTATTTATTTATTTTCTTATTTATTTATATATATTATATATTATTTATATATTATTTTATATATATATTATATATATATTTATATATTATATTTATATATATATTTATATAATATTATTTATATATATATTATATATATATTTTATATATATATTTATATATATATTATATATTTATATATATTTAATTATTATATATTTTATTTATAATAATTATCATATATTATTTATTAATACTTTATATATTAGAAAAATCACAAAGTACGAGTAATATTTGGATTTGACTTTTTTAATGATGAAAGAACTAAACCCATCGCTTGTCTTGCATTCAGAATGGAAGTCGAATCTCTCAAGAAATTTGAGGCATATTGTGAACCTAGAGATAGTGAAGCTTAGTGTCCAGACACAATGTAAGGGACCGTGTGGGCATCTGGGCATTGGGTCAAGGAAAACTGGACGAAGACCTGATCGATATAGCGGTCATTCACCCAGACATGGTTTACAATACAGTAACTACAATACAGTATTAAGTCTTTTTACTGAAGGAATTTTGCTTGCAAGGCAATGATGGATTAATATAATTTTTATGTAAATTGTTTTCGTTTTAATTCCCGACATAGAATCTTAAGAGTCCATATCTCTTCAGTATACAACAGGTTCCCAAACTGACTCTCACGAATCTCTGAAGACTCTCTTTGGAATAGATGATGGGTTCCGGGGAAAATAAAAATATATGAGACTGAGTGCATAACGTCAGGGTGGTCTCCAGAGTTTTAGTAAAAAGTAAAATAGTTCTTATCTGTTTTAATCAAAAACGTTATATCAAGTTATAATAAAAATATTGGCAGTCATATTTATGTGCTAAATAAAACATGTAAGAGGAAGTTGCAAAGTCGGTGGTGTTGAGACCTTGCTACAATATTTTGTAGATTAGAATAAATGAAATAATCTAACCACAATTAATTTTTAATGGGGTATTAAAGCATATCTTCAAACTTGTGTCGTTTTTTTTCAGAATAGAAAAAAATACAAAAGTCTGAAAAGTAGATACCTGCAAGAAAAAAAATTATTAAAAATAAAAAATAAAACAAGTTAAAAACAAAACAGAATTACCCGAGAATCATGGATTACACACGTGTTTCAGAAAATAAGTAAATGGAATTTTCTAGTCAACGGAAATTTAGAAAGTCGGTGAACAGTTTTAAAATATAGCTTTTTTAAATAGAGCATTAAATACTGTAAATTATAGTTTAGTAAACACTTTTTAAAATTCCTATTTTATATCAAGTTTTTTTTTCTTAATGGAGAATATTTATATTTGCGTTAGAAGCATGAGAAGGTTCGTATTAAATAGTTAGCAAATGTTATCTCAATTCAGTCTACACGTTTTGAGACGCTCCTTAATTCCACAAGACAATATCTCCTAGTTTTTCCATTACATGTGATTATAGCCATTCCAATAAATACTACTCTTTTATTGAAGGAATTTTACATGATGCCTCGTCATTTCAAAATTTTCGAAATAGTCGCTCAATATTTTTGATTATGGTTTCTCTTTGGATAGCGTAAAGGACGCATAAGGTCTCATTTTCGTTAAAATTATCGTTTTTCGAAAAAATGCCAAAGTTCAATTTTTTCGGTGTTTTCCTACAATTACAGTATTGAGGATGGAGATTTTGTTCTTTTTCTAATATAATCTTTAATGACAGATCTTGAAGTCAACAATTACAATTTTACGTAAATGCGAGTATTTTTTGCGTAATTTTGCGTCAAATATAGCCGGTTTAAATTTTTTTTAAACGGCTCCATTTTTTAAAAATTTTCGCCTCGTGTGTATTAAAGTTATGTATCAAATGTATTTTCGTAAATTACAAAATGTAAACATTGATACACAATTAATTGATTTTTACATATACTACAAAGTTTTTGGGAACGCTTGTGCGTATAACTTGGCAGCTGCTTATCACAAATCCATTTGTTCATCTGAGAGAACGTAAGCTGTAACACTAATCCTGCTCATTAAAATTTCTCTTTGGTGAAAATTAACTAAAAATCTCATTGGAACATCCACAAGCATTGGAGTCAGGTTGTATGATTTAAATGTTTTAATGCATAGAAATACGTGTATGGTCTAATTAAATCGACGATCAAAATTCGCCAACAATCTCCTTCTTTCTTTGAATTAATTGTCATTTTCATTAAAATGTTTGACTTGCAAAAATTGATGATCTTTTATTTTCCTTCAAGCTCTCAAGATTCGTTTGGTTAGGAGTTTTTCAAAAAATGGCTGAAGTGTTAATAAAATATTTTACAATATCATATTGCGTAACAGTTACAAATAACACGAGAAATGTATGTACTGATGTAGCACTATTAGCTGTTTGCTTTTTTTAGATGCGCATGTACTTGAAAAATTGAATAGGAATTCTGAGTGGAGCTAGTTGCAACAAAGCACATTTGAGGCGGACGTATGGGCGCCATTTTAAGAATACTAAACCGCCCGCAATTACGTCGTTGTAGTATGGTATTATAAGTGGCAATGCAATTTCCGTATTCGGAGAGATCTCCAGCTGGAATAACAGTTTAAAGGAGCATTATTATGTAATGATGCCTTAACGATTCCAAGAGAATGTAATGAAGAAGGATCTAAGTACTTATTTAATCGTTGAAGACAAGATGGCGTATTTCATCATCGGATTTACAACTAGTACATGAAACCTTGCAACCGAGAGAGCACAAAAATGTGTGGTATTCGTAAAATAAACTCAATACATTTACGCGTATATAAATTTATTTACAGTAGATTTAAAGGACTTGAATTTGGCATGTTAGATAAGACTGTGCTGTGATAATTTAGGTTATTGGTGCCAAAGTACTGTATACACATCAACTGCCCGTCTCAGGAAGTTAAGAAAAATGTGTTGAAATATAAGATTATGTGATAATTTTAATCATTGTTATATGAGTGAATTGACTATCTTAATAGAAAAACAAAGAATGTGTTACTGTGCAACAAATATCTAGTTAAAGTCAACACAAAAAACAATATAAAACATTACAAAGTAGTTCTGGAATAATGTGATTAAGAAGACATTTTTTTAAATCGATTTTAATTTATGTCATTTATTTATAGTCGCATCGACAGCTGAGATCATTAGCGACTCAATACATGTTCAATGATTTTACTACAGTTAATACCTTGATGCTAATTGATATAGAGTTCAAATATGGGGATGGTACATAGATATAAAATATTTTGACCTCAGTTAACATATTGTCTAAAAAATAAATACTAATATGAAATACAATTTATACATTCACACTGAAAACACATACTTCAGTAAGTCAAAATATATAATTATACACTTCAAATGCAGTTTACATTTTTAGTAAGCTTTTGAATTAAATTTTAATGAATATATTTTATATCTTCGCAGAATTGGAGGACTCTTTCGTGGTAATCTATAGATGTAAGAATTGACGCCGGGCTTATACTCTGTACGTATTTTTGTCTGGACTGATTGAATAGGTGGCATTGCTTAAAGATATGTGATATATTAATAGGAATATTACAGTGCTCAATATAGGGGCTGGGTTTATTTCTATTAAATGTAAGTGGCTTAGTTTGTAGTGGCCAGCTCCTTGTACGAACTACTAGCCCTTTTCTGTTGATATGTTTTTTTTTTTACTTTTGAGATTGTGGAAATTATTAATTTGTTTATAAAGGGCTCTGGATCTTAAAGTTTTCCAGCTGGGATTCCATCCATCTTGCATTGCTTTTCCAGTGTGTTTTACTAAGTCTTTGAATGTATTGGATACAGATAAAATTGTATTTGTGTCTTCTGAATTAGTTGTCATCCTGTTCACGTTCTCTATTACATTCTGAGTTGTTCTAATTTGCTGTGGGTACCACACCAGCTTCATTGTCTTTCCTGAGATTGTCATATCCTTATACAGTTCATATACGTTTGTTTTCATTTCAGAGTTTGTAGTTTTCTTGTTTATAATATGTAATGCAGTTAGGAAACTGCATAGGAAAAGAAATGTGTTGTCTTGGAATTGTTTAATGACTTTTGACGCTGTCATTAAGAAACAAAGATCAGTTGTATCCTGGCCGGCATTCAGATGAAGTTGATAATTGACTAATACATCACTTGTGATTGTAGTTGCCCAGAATCCTTGGCCTTTCTTTGTTCCGTTAGCATATACATGATAGTAGTTGTTATTTTTGTTTATAATTTCAGGGAATTTGTGGTCCCAGAATTCTTCTGTTTGTTCTTTTTCATGATGGTTTGTTAAAGATAGTTGTGCTACAAAATCGTGGATTGTTCGAGAAGGGAATGTGTACTGTCTTTTATTTTCAGTTTTCGTACTTAGTTCTGCAAGAATTCTCCTGACTTTTGCGTGAAGTGATGAAGTTCCCCGCACAAAAAGTGGTGGATATAATTTCATCTCCCCAACCGTCCAGACAAACTTGGACACCGTTCGATACGTGGGATGGGGGCGTTGATCAAGCGCTACTGTCAGAATTTTAGTGTCTATGTGGTTGGCATCAACTACCTTGGGGCGGGAAAGACCATCTTTCCCTGCCGAAGGAGAGATTTTCGAAGTCTACTGTATTTAATTTTTCAGATTCATCTCGGTGTCCT